CAGATAATCTTTCATTATCTTCTGTCTTCATTTCGTCAGTTTCATCTTTCTCACCCAAACCACCACCCATCCACTCCCATGGTTTCTGAAAGGATGCTGAAGAGGTTAGGTTAGGTCGCAAATATTGTGTAGCGGCATGGCCTAGAGGTTTAGACCATTGCTTAGCTTTCGAGAGGACGTCGCTTCGATTCCGGGTTCGTCTCCTTGGTCCAAGTTTTTCTGTGGTTTTCTTGGATCACCTAGGCAAATACTGGGGCAGTAATATTCAACAGATAATCTTTTATTCTTTTCTGTCTTCATTGCGTCCGTCTCATCTTTCTCACCCAAACCACCACCCATCCATTCCCATGATTCCTGAAAGGATGCTGAAGAGGTTAAAGTTTTTTCCACAGTGGGTGAACCTAGAGATCGATCTTGTCGAATGACTCTGTAACTGTCTCTTTATAACTGCGTGCAGACAATAAATATTTCGTGACCTGACAGTAACAATAAATTTAATGTCACTATGACAAAAGTTACTAGTACGCGCTGGGCCTAACTTTAGCATCTTAAGTGCTCCCCTGAAGATAACATCATCTGCTTTTTGTGAATGAAGTACGCTTCTTACTTATTTCAAATTAAATCATATGTTTTTAATAAATTTTTTGTATACACCTCAGGATACGCATAGAATATCAATTAGACATGAAACAATAATTCTAAATAACAACAACAGTAAAACAATGGTCTGTCTAATTTAATTTTTAATTTATTCTTCGGAAGTTTTAATTACCATAAAGCCAAGAACATTTAATTCTTTTTTTAGATACAAACATTTCCATTCTACACATATAAATAAACAATTAAAAAAAAAAAAAACAGTTTCATTGTTGGTAGTAAACCGAATTACTTACGAATGACAATATTACAGTAAATTATGTCAACAAATGAGCGACAATAAATATTTTGAGTATGTAAAAATGACTTTTAAAAAGGCATTATAACGTAAGCGATGTTTTACTGGTTTTGTTATTACAGAATCAATTAGTTACTTTTAATGGAAAAGTCCTTGAAGTAGCAACACAACTTCCGTTGAACAAATTCGTCAGTGTACTTATTTAAAATATTAATTTATTGTTAAAAGACGGTACATTCCAAAAAAAAACACTTGTAATCAGGTCTTATCATCAGTCATTCCATATAATACACGCTAATTAATTTTAATGAGAGAGCCTTTGACGTATGGCAAAAGGCCAACGTGTGTTCTCAGAATGTGAAACTGTTTCTACAAAATTAGGAAGCGGAAAATAAATTTTTGAAAATATCATATCTACATTAATTGTTTGAGTTTTTTTTTTAGAATATAAATATGGAAATAAACAGAAAAATATTTTCCGTTGTTTTGACCTTATGTATAGAAGGCGTCTAGAAAACGAAAAGAAAAAATTTTCCACACGGAAAAAAATTAAATTTTTATGACNCTTTTCTGTCTTCATTGCGTCCGTCTCATCTTTCTCACCCAAACCACCACCCATCCATTCCCATGATTCCTGAAAGGATGCTGAAGAGGTTAAAGTTTTTTCCACAGTGGGTGAACCTAGAGATCGATCTTGTCGAATGACTCTGTAACTGTCTCTTTATAACTGCGTGCAGACAATAAATATTTCGTGACCTGACAGTAACAATAAATTTAATGTCACTATGACAAAAGTTACTAGTACGCGCTGGGCCTAACTTTAGCATCTTAAGTGCTCCCCTGAAGATAACATCATCTGCTTTTTGTGAATGAAGTACGCTTCTTACTTATTTCAAATTAAATCATATGTTTTTAATAAATTTTTTGTATACACCTCAGGATACGCATAGAATATCAATTAGACATGAAACAATAATTCTAAATAACAACAACAGTAAAACAATGGTCTGTCTAATTTAATTTTTAATTTATTCTTCGGAAGTTTTAATTACCATAAAGCCAAGAACATTTAATTCTTTTTTTAGATACAAACATTTCCATTCTACACATATAAATAAACAATTAAAAAAAAAAAAACAGTTTCATTGTTGGTAGTAAACCGAATTACTTACGAATGACAATATTACAGTAAATTATGTCAACAAATGAGCGACAATAAATATTTTGAGTATGTAAAAATGACTTTTAAAAAGGCATTATAACGTAAGCGATGTTTTACTGGTTTTGTTATTACAGAATCAATTAGTTACTTTTAATGGAAAAGTCCTTGAAGTAGCAACACAACTTCCGTTGAACAAATTCGTCAGTGTACTTATTTAAAATATTAATTTATTGTTAAAAGACGGTACATTCCAAAAAAAAACACTTGTAATCAGGTCTTATCATCAGTCATTCCATATAATACACGCTAATTAATTTTAATGAGAGAGCCTTTGACGTATGGCAAAAGGCCAACGTGTGTTCTCAGAATGTGAAACTGTTTCTACAAAATTAGGAAGCGGAAAATAAATTTTTGAAAATATCATATCTACATTAATTGTTTGAGTTTTTTTTTTAGAATATAAATATGGAAATAAACAGAAAAATATTTTCCGTTGTTTTGACCTTATGTATAGAAGGCGTCTAGAAAACGAAAAGAAAAAATTTTCCACACGGAAAAAAATTAAATTTTTATGACAACGCAAATTTTCGATTGTAAAGGGCTAAATTTGGCGTAGAAATAATAGAATATATTCGGGAATTTGTAATAATCTCAATTTTGACGTTATTTCAAGTTTCTTTACTATTACAATTTAATTTGTGATATCAACTAAAACACCTAGTAAATTTATTTCTGCTAGGATTTCATTTTTACAAATTCGGATCCAAATTGTAATTTTTATTATTTTCGTTTATGAAGTAACGGGCTAGTGAGGTAAATTGTAAATTATATCGCCTAAACATTTAGGTAATTTTCCTTTTTCATTTTCTACGTGCAATTTTGTTTGTTTTTATTATTTATTTAATACAAGCGCCCGTCATAGGTGGAATCGATAGTTTTCGTATTGTTTTAAATAAAGTGGATGCGCTATTGATAGAAAAATATGGTATGGTAATTAATAAAAAATTAGACAAAAGTATTGGTATGTAACGAATATAATGCATGACTAGAATTAATATAAAAATAGGAGACTCATAGACATAAAATAAAGAATAGCATGACTTTTTGAGAAATGCGAAGATTGGCTCAAAATAGGAAGAAATGGTGATGGGTGTCGAGCCAGTCTTCATTATGATGATGATTACAAGATAAGAGTAATAATTTTCTTAGCAGTTTTATTAAAGAAAACAAATGAAATGCTTAAAGAACGTGTAATCTACTTATTTACCCACACATGTAAGTATTTCCCTATTAAGAAGCGTGGAGTCCAGATAACCAAAAATTTTTTCGAAACGGTGATGGTCTATAGTCGATACTGATTCAGATTCAATTTTCTTATGCCAAAAAGAACTACAAAATATACCTAACTTCTTCAACTTAATTATAAGGTGTAAAAGAAGAACTACTGCAATGCATTGTTCATACATCAAAATTACTCAATATTTTTCTATTCCATCAGGAAAACATTATAGCACAGTCATGTTCCAATACGCTATAGTGCTAAACAGGAACATAAAAGACTACGCTCGATACCTGTAATCAACAATGATACATCCTTCATAACATTCCCCAGATGATATTTATACTTATATGTAAATAACATAAACATTTATTTTACTTTTTCCAAAGTTCTTTTAAATTTACTTTCGTAACTTCTGCAGCCTAGTTTAGAGACCCCTTCTACTGAGGGGTTACCCCGTGCATCCACCTTGAGTACCTACTTCCTTACTCGCTGTCAAATCTATTAACTCAAAGGGTTTTCAACAATTCTCAATGTATTTTAATGATCATAATAACATAAAAGCGTGTTAATAAGTATATTTACATACTTTTTTTTTAGTTTCAACATGTGTATATACTTATAAAAATTTACATACCTAATGAAGTAGAAAGAAGCATCAGCTCTTATTAAGACGTTTAAAATACTCTAAAAGTATTGTTTTCTTTTTAAATGATTATAGTAATAAAACTTTCTGATGTACATTTCATAAATAGTATTTAGTTACCATCTTACTTAACAATTACTTCATACGCATCGTGGCATAGGATTAACAACTTAAGTGATGGCCAAAGTAATACCAAGACAGGTCTTGATCTTGATCTTAGTCTTGCTGATATAATCTTGATCTTTATCATGGAATTGCGTGTTAAGTTTTGGTCTTACATTGTATGTCTTTTTAGATTATTAAAGATTACATTAATCTAGTAAAGCAGACCAAAACTTTCAAATACGAAAAATTGTTTTGTTCAAAGAAAAGTGTGTATTAAAGTTGCTTCAAATAGTTTAACTCATAAATATAAATAACAATCACGAAGCAGCACGACCTAGAGGTTTAGACCACCGCTTACCATTCGACGGTTCGATTCTGGGTCCGTCTGCCTTGATCCAAGTTTTTCTGTGATTTCCTTGGATCACTTAGGCAAATACTGGGGCAGTAATACTAAACAGGTAGTCTTTCATTCTTTTCTGTCTTCATTGCGTCCGTCTCATCATTCTCACCCGAACCACCACCCACCCATTCCACGATTCTTGAAAGGAGGCTGAAGAAGGCCTTCCGCCCTACCTTCCAGCGTAGCCCGGAGGGACTGCCCGCCCTCCAGCATTAGTCACTGGTGGGAATGAAACACCCAAAAGTTTTTCTTTTTAAGTAACAATTTTTCATATTTGATCTTGGTCTTGCATATTCGATCTTGGTTTAAGTCTTGGTCTTGGTCGTGCTAGAGTATAAAGACAGTCTTAATCATAGTCTTGGCCTTGACCTTGCATTTTCCCAAGACCAAAGCCAATACTGCAAGAAAGACCAATACCAATTTTGCTCAAGGCTATTGAACTTCCAATTTTCTGTTGAAATCACAACATTCACGGATTATTATCATTAATCAAAGTAAATCGAAACATTTCAGGTGTTTTGCCGGAAGCCCTTCAAACCAACTGCGCTCGATGCACCGAAAAGCAGAAGGCGGGAGCATATCGAACGATAAAGCGCCTGCGCAAGGAATATCCCGGGATATGGAAAGCGTTATTGGAAGAGTACGACCCCACGGAGAAGTACGTCCGTCGATTCGAAGAGACAATTTTGTCGAAAAAATCCTATCTACCATCACCACCCGCATCATTCACGACTTCTAAAGTGGATACTATCGCGCCACCGAGTCAAATTCCTCAGCTCTTAAATAAATTTCCCGTAATAGATAGCTTATCGACCACATCAACACTTTCCACACACTATGCTTCATTTAGCACAAGTGACACTAGCTCTGCTTCTACCACAGCTTCTAGCACTACGCACACTACTAAGCCTTCCCCGACCACCACAACCACTACAACCACCACCAGATATACAACTAGCACTACTAAAAAGACTGAAACGAAAAAACCAACAACGACAAAAACAACCACTAATATTCTAGAGCCTCTTCCCATATTCATTCCCGCTATGTTTCCTGATCCGCCTAATAAAGGGGTTACTACTAACACGGTAAGTTTGCTTCCTGGTGTCAGATTGCAGGTAGACACGCCTAATTGGTTGAGTTCTCTAGGAAACAGAGTCATTCAAACTGGGTCAAGAATTGGGAAAGCTGTCGTTTCAACTGTGCAAGCTGTTGTTGGGCGGTAATTCCGAGTTTTGCCGTGGAAAACATAACATTGAAATGAAGCCCGTATCAACGCGAAATTATTAATTCTTATAAACGCGTTAGGAACGAAAAACAATTAAATTAACAATTAATTTTATCTACGTATAAAATTTTCGAACACTCAAAGCGCTGGTTCAAGAGTAAATAGACAAACAAATTAATATCTTAATTTATTTTCGGCAAGTTAAAGCCTTTAGTGGCAATTTTTTACGAGATGTCTCTCAAACGTATTTGCCCCATCGTCTAAAATAAACTTTATAAAGTTTGGATTTGAATATACTTAGTCCCTTTTTACGGCGAGACGATGCTAGAAACATTATTTGCATTTTAATATTCTAATTCAATTATATAAGTAATTGAAAATTAACAGATTTGAAAGATAATATATATACATGTGATAAAAATCTAAAGCATAAAGATTGCTAGGTATAAGAACTAAGATAATTATTGTGCCAAATCTGACAACAATCTGTTGTGGCTTCGTGAAAATTAATTCCTCAGTATACCATAAAATAGTTCAAGAGGACCATAATAGGGAAGAAAATTATCACAACTAATTCTAGACGGTCATTAGGCTGCATAAAATTTCCTTTTTTTAATTGTAGTATTTATTTTATTTTACTGCTGAATAATAAATGTGAAATGGGAAAAAATTGTTATGTTCAGTTCTGCAAAAATGAACCATTTTGTAAAAAAGATGATAAAAAATTAAATTATCTATGTAAAATATCAATAGTGCAAAGTAAAAAGATTAAGCAGCGACAAAAAGATTGGGTTGATCCACCAAAAATTCAATAAAAGCTTCAACAAATGTACCTATCAAGAATACTGAACATAGCTCTTTACAATTAATCAAAACAACAGTCAAGGCAAGTTTCTTTAATACGTTTGTTGAAGTTCTTTCTTTTTTTTGAGTATTTACAAAAACATTTAGTGGATACTATATTTGAAAGTATTTTATTGTATTATTGTGAGTGCATAATTCAAATACGTTATCTGTTTCGAATTTTAATAGAGGATCTAAAAAACTATTTAAATATTTTATATACTTATAAAAATTTACATACCTAATGAAGTAGAAAGAAGCATCAGCTCTTATTAAGACGTTTAAAATACTCTAAAAGTATTGTTTTCTTTTTAAATGATTATAGTAATAAAACTTTCTGATGTACATTTCATAAATAGTATTTAGTTACCATCTTACTTAACAATTACTTCATACGCATCGTGGCATAGGATTAACAACTTAAGTGATGGCCAAAGTAATACCAAGACAGGTCTTGATCTTGATCTTAGTCTTGCTGATATAATCTTGATCTTTATCATGGAATTGCGTGTTAAGTTTTGGTCTTACATTGTATGTCTTTTTAGATTATTAAAGATTACATTAATCTAGTAAAGCAGACCAAAACTTTCAAATACGAAAAATTGTTTTGTTCAAAGAAAAGTGTGTATTAAAGTTGCTTCAAATAGTTTAACTCATAAATATAAATAACAATCACGAAGCAGCACGACCTAGAGGTTTAGACCACCGCTTACCATTCGACGGTTCGATTCTGGGTCCGTCTGCCTTGATCCAAGTTTTTCTGTGATTTCCTTGGATCACTTAGGCAAATACTGGGGCAGTAATACTAAACAGGTAGTCTTTCATTCTTTTCTGTCTTCATTGCGTCCGTCTCATCATTCTCACCCGAACCACCACCCACCCATTCCACGATTCTTGAAAGGAGGCTGAAGAAGGCCTTCCGCCCTACCTTCCAGCGTAGCCCGGAGGGACTGCCCGCCCTCCAGCATTAGTCACTGGTGGGAATGAAACACCCAAAAGTTTTTCTTTTTAAGTAACAATTTTTCATATTTGATCTTGGTCTTGCATATTCGATCTTGGTTTAAGTCTTGGTCTTGGTCGTGCTAGAGTATAAAGACAGTCTTAATCATAGTCTTGGCCTTGACCTTGCNTAGATATAATAATGAATAATCTTGCCACAATACTAGTTTTAAGTAAAACCTACACTTAAGCAACATTTTTAATATTATAAAGTGTTTTGTGAAGAAATGTTCTAGAATACGTAATAAAAGATGAATGGAAAACTATGTAAATTACTTCCCAATTGCGTACAAGAGACACCTTGTCTACAAAAGAACTAAAGAACTTTCTCAAGAACAAAGCAGTACAATAGAAAATCGTTTAAGAAGGTATGAAATTGATCTTCTGTAAATTTTCAACACTTCTTAAGCTTTGTTAAATTTGCTCTCATTTTATTAACGGTGTATTTGCGTGTAGTTTGGCAATATATGATGAAGTGATTATTACTATTCTTATATGATTGCTTTTGCATTTAAAATTAATTAGAAGCAACAAATGATTTTTTATTTGCTTATTGAATTGTTCATCTATATATATATAAGAAAGTCGTGTTAGTTACTTCACTTATAACTCAAGAACGGCTGAACCGATTTGGCTGAAAATTGATGGGGAGGTATCTTACAACCGGGAGAAGGACATAGGATACTTTTTATCACTTTCCACGAGAAAAATGTGGTATATGTAAACGCAACTGACATGGAATGACAAAACGAAATTGACAGCAAAACAAAAAATTTATCAGTCAAAACATCAGTCTAGCCTTTCATTTGTTAAGATTGCATGTTTGTTTTTGGTTCGATTTACTTGAAATTGATTAAAAAATTCAATCTCTGTTGGGGGGGATGAGTGGTGAAGAGGAGTTGCAATGTTTAAATGGAACATATTATTTGTGATCAGATTTACTTGAAACTTTGTTTTAATGGTCTCTCATTTAATTTCTGAAAGATCTATCTCGACAATTTAAAAAAGGGAAAGGTGTTGCAATTTTTGTTTGGGACATACTTTATTTATGGTTGAATTTACTTGAAACTTGGTATATATGCTGTTTGATATTATTAATCAAATGAAAAGAGGTTGCAACGTTTCCATGGGCTACATTTTATTTGTACTCGGATTTACTCGAAGGATGCTCATTGCTGAAATTAAGCAAATACGTGTTTTGGCAATTTTTAAAAATCAACCCTTAAGGATGAAATGTTGTTGCTACGTTTGTATTTGAAAGATGGCGACATTACACAAAATTAAAACGTTGTAAGGGTGAATTGGGAGCTAAAAGGTTTTATGGAGAAAGAATATTAATTTCTGGGAGCGAAGCCGCTGGGAAAAGCTAGTTTACAATAAATGTTAACTCGACCGAGTTCGGAATACGACTTAAAACAGCTTAAAACAGAGACACTTATGACAATTATGGCATTTTGGGGGCTGTGGAAACATAGAAATGGTTAGTGTAGTATTGGTAAGATACAGGTATCAATATTCTTGGAAAGTTATGTTAGGGAAAAGCTATTATTGGGATCCGGAACTAATCGTAAAAGCAAATTGCTATAAATTGTCTCAATAGAGAGGCCTGACAATAAAGAAGGCACACAGAAGAATTATTTAAATTTACAACAATTGACAAGTCAAATAAAACATGAATTCTGAATAGTTTTTGAATATGTACAGCGAAAAACATAACTGAATAAAGTACTCATCATCATCATCATCATCATCATCATCATAAGGTCGTCAGTCCTAAGACTGGCTAGACACGCATCTCCACTCCTTCCTATCCTGAACTAATCTTCGCATTTCCCTAAAACTAGATCATCCCACATCCATAACTATATTTGCGAACAGTAATCTAATCTAGGTCTATCTCTACTCCTTTTAACTCCTGTTTGCGCCTCTAATATGCCTACTACTCCTTCCGTCCTGACTTATCTGATTTCCCAGATACCTAAAATCAGTCACTTCTTCTAATCTTTAGTCTCTTATCTTTTTATTTGCTCTTTTCCTACTTTTTCTTCCTTTGCATACCAGCATTTTTGTTTTACTTTTATTATTTTCATACAATACTGTTCTGTCAACACCGCTGTTCCATTTTATTTAAAGCTATCTCTTACTCATCCTTGCTAGATGCTAATACTACTTTATCATCTGCCAATCTAAGCATACTAATCTTTTGCCCCTGTATATCTATCCCTACAGTTGTACTGTCTTCAATGATGTTGATCGTGTCTTCGATGTATAGGTAGATTAAAAAGTAGCGGTGGAAGTGTGCATCCCTGTCCGACTCCCTTCCTAATATTTACTTCTCTATGTTGCATCCCCAGCTCTAGAACTGCCTGTTCTTTATACAAACTAAGGATCATTCTTCTATCTTTGTAAGTCATCCCTACATTTTTAAGTATATTTAACATCTTGTCCCATTTAACATTCTCAAAAGCTTTTTCTAAATCTACAAATCCTATGTACGCCCTCTTTCCTTTTTCTATCGTTTTCTCTATTGTTATCCATAAAGCCAGAATGGCCTCCCGTGTTCCTCTATTTCTTCTTAACCCAAATTAATCTTCCCCTAATAGTTTTTCCGCCCTTTTTTCCATCCTTCTCGGTACAATTCCAGTCAAGATTTTTGTCGTATGGGAAGTTAAACTCCTTGTTCTAAATGTCTCGCACCTATCCGCGCCCCTCTTTTTAGGTAATGTTACTACTACGTTCCGCTTATAATCCCCTGGGACTTTCCCCATCTCGTAAATGTGACTAACTAGCTTAAACATACGATCTCTAACCAATTGTCCAGCATGTTTTAGAATTTACGCCTGTATACCATTATCATTAGAAAAAACAATCGATAGCATTTATCAAATCATCGATCCTCGAACCCAATGTAACTCTGAGTCCGTCGCGTTCGTGTTAAGTGACCATTAAAACACCCTAGCAACACAACTGGACTTATTTCTATCATTATTGACCTAGTTTCTTCTATAGCAACTTTGCAATGCACTTATAAGACTGCATTTATATTATACACCAAGCATTTTTGAGGATAAAATAATCTCTTGTGTTCAGAAACTTTGTAGACAGTTCCACGATTCGAATGCAGAAAACCGCATCTCGATTCGAATTACTGCACAAAATTCGAAGTTTCAGTGCTTTATTTCCTCGATTATCAGTATGAGCCGGTGTAATCCATAAGGTACTAGATCATAGACCTCAAAAATTTATGACCTCAAATAAATAGGATAAAGTGTCATTCGATAGAAAAAACAATGCATGAATCAACCTGAAGGAAACGTGGGTAGAATCCTTTCAATTGCATTGTTTAATTCCTGGTACTTATTTATAGTGCAAAAGTATTTTGTAATAATAATAAACAAACAGTGCATAGCATACAAGTAATAATTAAAGAAATAAAAATACGTTGCTTTTTAATGTTTAAGTTTGTTAGAAATTTACTACAAGGTGAAATTATTTAGTGTGTAGTGGGTAAAAATTAAGAATATTTCATATTTTTATAAGTTCTTTACTTTTATTTCCCGATTCCTGGATCTTAACAGTACTTAATACAGATCTACTTATTTTTAATTAAATCCTTAATAAAATCATATCTTACATACACATATTTCAAACTTTTTAATGATTCTGTACTTGCAGTTAATATTGCTGACTGATTATCGCAAAACAAACTAATTGGATAGACATTATGAAAACCAAATTCATTCAATAAATTAACAAGCCAAATTCCTTCACTAGCAGCCACACTCATGGACACATATTCGGCTTCTGTCGAGGACAGACCTACAAATAACTGCTTTCTAGAGCTCCATACTGTTAAACAGTTTGCAAAAATAAATAAGTCACCTGAAGTGGATTTTCTGTCTTTTTGGTCGCCTCTCCAATCAGCGTCACAAAAACCTTGCAACATTGTATTATTACAATTTTAAACCAACTGATAATGTAAGGTGTACTTTATATAACGCAGTACTCTCTCAATCGAACCCAGAAATGTTTGATTTCATGTTTTGTTTTGACAAAATACACACTCCTGAAGTTACAGTAGTCGTCTTTTAGTTTGACAAAATATCTCAACTCACCAACAGAGGCTTCTTCCATTGGGCCGCACGTATCAGCTAGAATTAGCTCACATGTCCTAGTACTCATATATTTACTTTCGCTCAATGGTAATCTATGTACC